TCGGTTTCCATCTTTTTGAACAGTCCTTGTTCACGTTCCCTGTCTAAGAAGTCCTCACGGTTGTTCGTGCTGGAGTGGGTAGATAAATCTACCTGGAGTGTACTGATCAGACCCTTCAACAAATTTTCGTGAGAAAGCAAGAGTGTAGAGGGCAAGTTAACACTAAGCACACGACCTCCTTCAACCGATATTTCGAAAATTTGATCTAGGTTTTGTACAGTTTCGTATTTGAGGTCCTTAGGCATGGCCATGTCGTTAGGCAGCTGCTCATGGATTTGGGCATGTTGCGGCTTTTCCAACTTAGCTTGAAGGCGACCTGGAGACTTGACGCGGACAATGAACTCGCCTTTGAATGCGGTGCCTGAGCTAGCACCCTCTTGATGACGGGCCAGGGTGTGCGTGTTAACGTCATAGCGGTAAAGCTTGCCGGTTTGCCATGGCCATTGAATTTGCTGTGGTTCGCTGAGGTTTCCCGAGGAAACGACGGCTGCAAAAAATTAAATAGTAAGATTAGCAATTGTTCTAATGTTTTTCTTTTGTAATTTAGGCTAGCCAATGACGGTTAGGTACTTCGTGGTATTACTCAGTTTATAAATACAAATAATATTTAACATTTTAACTAAAACATTGCTTCAAGTTAGTTAATGACCTTGCCATATGTTCTAAAATGCTATAAAAGCCATTTAGTGGTGACAGACACATTTGTGGGACTAAACATTTTAAACAAATCTTAGATATTATTTCAAATTCTCAAGTACCTAGTAGACTATCACAGATCATTGATAATAAAATGGTTTTGTATTCAGTAACTACTTAACTATTAACTTTATCAGTAATAGCAAAGTTATAGAATAAAGGTAGGTAACATCACGACTATAATATGCAAAGGGTAATCACTGAAGTCCAGCGTAACAATGGAAGAAATAACTGTCTAAATATCAAAAAATTTCTTACGACAAACCAAATTGAAAACAAATATGTTTTAAACAGAAGTTAAAATAATTACTAAAAAATAAACTTACCGATAAACGCCGCCAATACCAATAACTTCATATCTAAGTCCTCAGGAGTGCTGGTACTTGATGGTTATTAGAGAAGTGTACTTCTGACCATCGGACAGTCTGTCTAGCTTATATACTACTTAGTTTCTACACGTGGAGTAGGTTCAGGACCGACCCATGAACTTACAGATTGATAGTTACAATGTTTAGCTATTTGTTGAAAATCGATTGACCTGATATTATATTAGAAAGATTATTTGTATTTACTTACTTAGACGCTACTAGACTAGGTTTTCAATCGAGTCTTGCTTGCTGTAAAAAATTTTATAAGTAGTATAAGTGATCATTGTAGATAAGTACTATTTTAGTTTATTTTTTATGTTCTTTCAAAATTGGTTTTATAAACTTACCTACAGTTTTATCTCAATTTTGATAGAATTAGACAATCAGACCTGTGTATTAATTTTAAAAGTAGCCATTATATGCAGGTTGCTCCTAACCGGCCGATGATGTTATAGGTTCTGCTATTTGCGTAAAACATGGTATACAAAGGTGTTATAGTTACAATAGATCATCATGTTTTGTTTAGCCAGGGTTGTGGATAAAGCGCAATAAGTTTCTGCGGCCCCGGTTTGGAACAAAAGTTTTTTTATTTATTTTATTTATAACTGCTTCGCCGAATGAGGAGACGGTATCCCATTCCGCCTCGTTCGGCATCATGGCCCGGACTAGGGCCGGATGCGAGAGGTCGCCGTCGCCGATTGTATCCCTGAGGGAACGGTGGTGCTCATCCCATGCAGGGCATGCCGCCTCGGAGCAAGAGTTGGAACGGGATAATTTCTAGTCAGTAAGAGTCTAACACTTATGCTTCACCCAGGGCTGTAGGAGTCACTTGCTGATTTTCCAAAACGTTCTATATTTCTATTTATATGTTCTACATCTAGATATTTCTTTCACATGTCGATAATTATTAAGGATTGAACTCATTTAATATTATGAAGACATCAAATACATCAATGGACTGTGCAATCTTCAAAAATATGGGGTAAGTTATTATTGTACTTAAAGCTACTAAGTTTTACATTTTATACTCTGGTAATAAACATAATAAGTACCTTATCAATAATAATGTTTTCGACGACGAGTAACTCGACTAGTTTCAAGCCATGCTAGAGGCTCACAGTGCGACAGTCGCCGAGTCGCGGGTTGCGAAATAATTAATTTAGTATGACTCACGAAAGTTATAATATAAACATAATAAGTACCTTTTTTCCTATAAATTTATAATTATGAGTTGAAGAAAACGTTCCGAGATTTTCTTCTTTATCTATGTACCTACAATTTGAATGTTCTAATAGTTCATTGGTTCACGATGTTACATTGTTACTTTTAGCATGAAACTTTGTTAACTTAAATGCCTACTTCTGGATAAATATTATTAAACCTTGGCTATGTTTTCATGTGAAGAAGGCCGAACAATTATTAGGTATACATTGTTTGAAAATTGGATCGGTATCTGCACCAAACGGCTTATGGAGATATTAATGCCAATTTTTTATTTTATAAATTCTTTTGTTACAATATATTACTGTGGGAGAGCCGTGCTAAGGCACGAATTGACCGGCTCGACCGAAATGATACCACGGCCTTACAGAAGATCTACGTGAAACAAAGCTTGCATTGTGTTTCGTCGTTTGAGTTAGGTTACTGAAGGCCCAATTACAAGGGGGTCCTTTCCCAATCTCTGTAATCCCTGAATCCCCAACATTCTTCGAATTCCTAATCCCCAACATTTGTAACGCCTCTGGTGTTTCGGGTGTACATGGGCGATGCCGATGGCTTACCATCAAGTGTCCCATAAAATAAACATACCAATTTATTATTTTATAAATTCATATGTTACATAATGTTATAAAATGTTTTTCTTTCACACTTTTACCTATTTTCATACAAGAAACACCTATAGTTACTTATCTTAGTCAATGGGCGAGCCGCTGACATACATACACATTCTCAATTAATTGTATGTATTAATAAAAGGTTAAAAGGCAGATAAACAGGAAAGTTTATATTGAAAGTGAATTTGGTGTTGATACAATGTCACACTATTTACAACAAGAGGGTAACGAACTCCAACACGAGCCCAGATCGGAACTGCAGCCGCTTATCTATAATAACTCTATTACCTATATGCAGATTAATACGTTTGTCGAAATGTATTAAATTATATTTATCATCAGCCTTGTCTAGCCCACTGCTGAATTTCTTTTCTTTACAATAAAATTTGCCAAAATCTCCACATTTTAAAGTGGGTTGGACACTTGAGATCGCAGTCTGGAAACTTTAGATTTATTGGAGCGCACATATAATATCAAATCTTCTTAAAGATTTTCTCGTTTAGTCGGTTATAATGACAACATGAAGAGTATTTATCAGATATGGGTGTTTATTAATGTATGCTACTCTACCTCATGGTAGAGTGGTGATCCACAAGGCAAGTGATACTAATTGTTATAAAATATACCTAGGTAGTTCTGAAAATCCATTTCCTCTATCTACAATCCTTTAATCATGAGTGAACAGGTTGCTCATAGGTAGGCGTGCATCGTCGGCCACATTATCGCTTACCACCAGGCGAGATGGAGACCAAACGTTTACCTATCAAGTATAAAAAAGAATCCCTAATCCCTAAAAGGCTGGTAATGCACTTGTAATTCCTGTAGCGTTTCAGGTGTTTATAGGCAACGCCTATTGCTTAACCGATTCGTCTACTCGTACTACCCCAAGCCATAAAAAAATCTTCATAATTCAAACCATGCTTAATATTAGTGTTAGAACAAAAAAAGAGTTAGGAACAAAAAAATCAGTAAGAATCTAACAGAATGAGTCGATGATACCCCTTTAAAAAGAAAAAAAAATGCACTATTACTATTAAGCTGATATAAAAGCATAAAGTAAATACACTATTACAGCATTAACTTACTATTTTCCACGTGTTTGTATACAAAGTAGTGGTTTTCAAAGTTTATCTATCCAAAGAGCGTCATTTTACTATCTTTCTGCAACATTCCTACACGTGTCCTTAAATACAATTTAATTTCTGCCTGTCATATTGTTGATAGTGGTTCAAAACATATGTTGTGTTAAAGTCCACTATTTTTCATTTAATAGTTTCGGAACACTACAGTGGAGTACTCAGTGTTACTATACTTTAGGCCTTTTTTAAATCTGTAGACAATGATGCAATAGTGTTCCTGCGAAAAATGAAATTTGATTTTGAATGGTAGAAAGAAAAGTGATTATGTAAAGGATTGATTGGAAATGGGTTTTGGGCACTACTTCGCCTGGTGGTAAGTAAATGGTGCGACCTGTAAGGTACCATTTTTCGTGTGCATTTTTCAGTAGGTATTTGGTGGTAACTTAATTAGTTTTCATTGATTGTTTTTCTAGACATTATTGACACGATCTCAATAATCCTCCTATCCTAGGAAAGTCTTTTAGGTAAGCAAGGACAATAGAAGTAGTTACTTGTGATTTATAAATATTTTATATAAAATGTTTTATTCAGATTAATGCACTAAAGTTGTTGCTATACCCACCGGCGACCAATTTGGAAGTCACCGAGGCGAGCCTATATACTCAGCAAAAGATCTCTTTTGGTTGGTATGATGATAATCATCACAAGTATATTTAATTTTATGAGCTGATATAATGATCTGATCATTATTTTCCCTCCATGTTCCTCGCTTACGATCATGTCCATAAAAATAAAAACAAAATGTATAATTGCATGTTTTCTATAATTCAGGAAGATTTACTACAATAAATTAATATGTATAAATTTTAACATACATTATATACAATCAGTTCCTGCAGGTTCATTACACTACTTTTGAGTTAAAAGTTGTTCATTCATCTAAACTAATATATCACAATACATTAAAGTAGGTCCATCGTCGTCCGTATGATATGCTTAGGTCCGTTGTCATTGCAAAGCAATTACAATTCTTTAATGGATTCGTTTTTGATCTTGCTCCACTCATCATCGGAGCGAAGAATGTTGGTGTACTCAGTGACAGGTTGGTACGCCTTCACTTTGGCTTCCTTCTTCAGCTCCACGGTTTTAGGGTCGCTTTCTTCATCTTCCAAGGAGAAAGAAGCTCCGTAGTGCTCAGGGAGGTCCACCAGACCATAAGGTGTCATGTAGTCGTCGCTGGGTTGGGAAGTGCTCTGTCCACAGAGACCCCTGGTGGTGCTGCGGTGGTCGTCGGAGAATATGACAAGGCGGTGGTCGTCGTAAATGAAACGAATGGCTCCGTTGTTCAAGCTGTATACTTGGTAGTCGTCCTCGATGGAGTAGTAGTACTCCACAAGCGGAACCTTGAATATTTCGTCAAAATATGTGGTGACCGCATTTTCAGCGACCTGCTTAGCGTTACTGGTGACTTCGTAAGTCTTGGAATTAATCTGAATCTCAACGTAGTAACCCGATTTAGTACTGAAATGAAATAGAGTAAATTAGTAAAACTCTTTCAAAATATGAATTAGAAATAATCTATCTACCTATCTATATAAATAAAAATGAATTTCCGTTTATTAGTCTCGCCAAATCTCGAGAACGGGTGAACAGATTTGGATAGTTTTGGTATTGAAATGTTAGTAGAAATCCATTAATTAATAAATAAATATTTCAGATATGGTGTTATATTAAGTGTACTCACGTGTAAGACACGTAGACCTCCTCTTGGTTGTCACCAGGCCTCTTAACTAGGATGACTAGTTTGTTGCCGTTCTCTCCAGATTCGTCCACCATAGCAACATGCCATGATCCGGTCAGACTGTAGTCGTAACTGCGGCCGCTGAACGTCCAAATCTTGTTGTCGTCCACCGTACAGAAAGCTTTAAAAAAATTAACAAAATAGTTATTATAATAGCACAGCACAACTTTATTGTGTTCAAGTAAAACAAATTCATTGATACTCACGCAAATGTTGGTAGCCAGTGAACCAGTTGTAGGAACGCTCCCAGTGGGTAATGGGCGTGTAGATAGCCATAGCGTAGGGGTAGTAGGAACGTCCCTCGACATTGTTCATGCGGAACTCTCCATACTTGGTGTTGAATTTGTAGTTGATGTAGTTATCATAGTAGAACGCCTGTGCTTCAATTTCTACTTTACCATCTTCGGTAGCCTTCATCAGGTCCTCGTCCTCTTCCCAAGTCGTAAAGTGTTTGAAAATATTGTATATTTTGTAGGTGGCATTCAACAGCACAGGGTTAACATCTTTGTATGTCACAGTACCCTTAAAGTAGTCAGGTGCGTGTGCCTTGATGATCATTTTGTGACAATCCTTCTGGTAGAAGTTCTTGTTACTGGTCTCTTGTAGGCATTTCTTAGCTAAAGGATCATTGGATAATCTTTCAGTGTATTCCTTGCTACGTTCACCAATACCTTTGAAAACGATGTTTTCAGAGTTTCCGTACTTGAAGTCCACTTCGTATTCTACCTTAATTTCATTCTTAAGAGCCTTCTCAAAGTTCAGTGGAATAGTTTTGGGCTTGACTATTTTGAAAACGGCATTGATTGGCACGCAACCATTAGCATATACAATCGCTTGGACGTTATTGTCTAATGGGTTGGTAGCTAAGGCTGAAGTAAGTACAAATTCTTTTTTGTTTTCTCCATCAAATACAACACTGAAATCAGCAATTCGGACCTTAGCATATTCGATTCCAGACGCAGCCTGATCAGCCAGCTTCTTGCGACGATTCACACTGTTACCTATCAGATCAGTGAGGTAACCAGCGGGTTTTAATTCATCATCTCCTTCGTGTTCGAATAATGTCTCTGTAATAAAAGTTGTAACACATTTAGTAAATTGTAAAATAATGTAAAATAATGTTTCGTAACCCATCATTCTAATTGCAAAGAATGTAATTCTGAAACTTACCAAACAATACAGTAGAAGCAATTTTTTTGTTCTTAGTGTCCTTAGCTACGTATTTCAAATCAAAGTGTGTACAAGCAATGTCATTCTGGTACAACAAGTTGCGAACGTTCGTCAAAATGTCAGAAGCAAAAATATTTTTCTTAAAATCATTGGAATATGAGTGTCCTTTCAGGTTAAGACTGACACCAGCAGACTCGCCAATATTTATGTCAGTATCCAGAACTGTAGTAGAGCGTTTAATGACTTTTGTGGATGGGTCTTCAGATACTGCCAAAGCAGAATACAGTTTTTGCAGAGATGTGTAGGGAAATACACTCATGTGAATAAGGTTTGCGTCTTTCTCAGGTAGTTCAATCTCAAATTTGAGATCAACATTAGCATAAAGGGTCGGGGTAACAATAAACTTCGCAGGGATGAAGTATTGTAACTTGTTGATAACACCACTTCTGGCATATACTCCGCTGAAAGTGTCTAAGAAACCAACACTGCCATCCAAATTTCTCGAATAAGTGAATTTGACATCAAAATTGAATGGACTACCCTTGCCTCTTGAAGCTACGCTATCGATATTGAACAAAGTGGGTTCACTGTACACGTAAACAAAAGGTAAACCGGCAGCGAGGGGGAAGGTGACTACAACTTGTTTGGCTATAATCACCTTTGTGAACTGATTCACATTTCCAGAGAATAGTCCACTGACTTTTCCAAAGTATTCACTAAGAAGACTACGGAGGTCTTTTTGACCGAAAGTAAAAAGTCTTTGCTGATTCAAATTGTCAATGAAGAATGCGCCTTCTATGGGGTCATGTTCACGTTTAATATTTAGTTCTTTGGCTACTTTCTCGGCCGAGTATTTCAAATCTGGCTGTATGTATTGGTCAGCAACCATAAGATCCAGGACGGAGTAAATTAGATTTTGTACATCAGAAACAGACCATGACATCTGAAAAAAACATAACAGTTTTCTTAAAATTTGTAAGACCATATACAAAAAAATAAAATACAAGAAAGTGATAGTCACTGCGACTTCGGCAATTTTACTACAAATAATAATTTTACTACAAAATATATCATTATAAATTATACACCCGTATTTAGAGGAGTGGAGCATAATTTATAGAAGTTGAAAAGAATTAATATTTAATAATTACCCAGTCTTCTTCAGTCAATCCATTGCCTCTTAATCTCAGTGCTGTCCTGTGGTACTTGGGTGTGGCACTGTCGGCGCTTCCGATGAAAGACAATTCCCTAAAGTGGGCCAGGTCATCATTGGAAGTGTAATCATCAATGATACTGTCGGCAGAGGCACGGTACCCGAATTTTTCCTTAGAGACGATACTCGAAACAGCTTGAGCGGTCTTGGCGCTGAAATAGGTAAAATAAACTAAGTATTCGAAATAGCTTCGATTCAATTGAAACAACGAAATGTTACATTATTTGTATTTACTACTATATATACTATTTCTACTATATTTGATTACTTACAGCTGTGCAAAACGAGGGTCCTTCAAATTAGCTGCAAAAGAAATACTGGTTGCTATTACACCACGAACTTGGACGCTTGGGTCGTCATTAGTCATATGTGCCATAATTTGCATCATCTCTGAAGTGGGGAAAGCTAAGAAGATGTTCAGAGCCGCTGCGACCCTGACTTCGTATGGTTCCGCAGTGTTTCTCAGGATGCTGAAGAGTACGGCGCGAACATATTCGTCCTTCTTGTTAGCCAAAGTTTTCAGGCTAATTACCATTTGTGTACGAAGATACTTGGTAACAGTGACTTGGCCTTCAAAGTAGGGAGCAAAGACCTTTAAGATATCAGGGTGAGCTAAGTTGCCCAGAGTTCTAATGTAAACCTGAGCCTTGCTGCTGTTATCTTCTTCGATAGCTTTTTTCAGTTCTGAAGCAAGACGAGGAATAACCTTTTCAACGACAAAGTGGTTTTCGTTTCCAGAGCGAATGAATTTAGTAGCGGCTAGCAAAGCTGAAGTGTTAAGGTACCTTTGTTCTACAACTTCGGGGTTAAAAGCCAGTTCAAAAAATTCATTTGCGATTTCTTTGTCAGAGTAATCAAGACTACTAGGTACAGATGCAATTACTTCAGCAGCTTCTTCGCCTTGAATTTTTTTGGTCAGAATCCACGATTTGATTCTTTGAAGGCAGCTACAGTTCCGGCTTGGGCAACGGCATCACGATAGATAGCCCACATTTTGTTCTTTGCTGCATTATTCGATGTCCTTGCAACTTCAATGCCGTCAGTCATTTGAGTTAATTGCTCGGAGTTCATAAACATGATAAAGCGAACAAGGACATTGAACTTTGATAAAAATTCGGTTTTAGGCAGATTGCTAGGGTCTTGCAGAAGCGGAGTGATTTCTTGGAGAACTTTTTGGGCATTGACAATGTTTTCCGGGCTCACTTTGAAGAATATCTCAGCGCCATAAGATGACAAAAGTGAGTTGACTACACGGACCTCTTCAGGTTTTTCCCATTCAGTGTTTCCTGTCGTCTCGACAGAAGACAAAACGAGACCAACGTAACTGTAGACTTCAGCTTTTTGTTTTCCAAACAAGAGAGGATTCACGAATACAGTGTCTAACGTTTCCGACTTGTAGATCGTTCCTGTTTACCAGCATGAATGCGTGATTCAGAAGTGTGCTTGATGAGCTGTCTTTCATCGTTTTCATAAGCGAGTCCATTCCAGACTGCTCCTTCTGGGACACCAAAGCCTAAACCGACACGTTTTTTGCAAGAGTCGTAGTTCTTGCTCTTAGTGATCTCAATGGGGTCTTCAGCAAAAGATTGCAAGCCACGACGTACTTCCACAGAAATCGGAGAAATGGAATATAAAGTTTCACAGTCGCCTGTGACATCAGCTTCCGATTTCTTGAAGAGGCCCTGGAAGGTCTTTTTATCGAAGCTGTTGGGGAAATTGTCCACATGTCCAAATGTAGATAGATCGACTTGGAGGGCACTGATCAAACCTTTGAGTATGTTCTCATTGGCCGATGATAAGCTAGAAGGTACTTTCAGAGAAAGCACTCGACCTCCATCAACGAAAATTTCGAAAACCTCGTCGATTTTCGGAACAGGTTCGTATTTCAAGTCAGAAGGAACCTCGTTGATATCAAGGACTCCTTGAATCTGGGCGTATAAGGGGTTTTGTAATTTAGCCAGAAGATGTCCAGGAGTCAGGACGCGGATCACGAACTGAGACTTGAAAGCGTTGCCATTGCTGTTGCTACTGTCGAACTTGGTCCAGGTATAAGTATTAACATCATAGACGTATTCTTTTCCTACTTGCCAGGGCCACTTAGCATTTCCAGTTAGTGGATTCGAAGCGACGACGGCTGTAACAAAAAACGATATTCAGTATTGCTGTTTTTTTTCAGTTCGGTTTTAATAAATAAAATATCTTTGTTTACTTAGTATTATCGCTAGTGGTCACTATGTAGCGATTGTACCGAACTGTAAGTACTGTTTTCGTGTAGAAAGATACACAAAATTTGCGATAGTATACCGGAGTCGGATATTTTAACAAAATGAGCTCGCTTTCGTTTACGTAACAGTCTATATAGTAACGACATAGTTACTACTTTTTTTTGGGTGAGGCGGGAGGGAGTGTCAGACTCTTACTGACTAAAAACCACCCCGCTCCTTCTCCTGCACGTCGAGCCGGAGCCCCGGTTACCCGTTAGATTCTCCGCGACTCCGAATCGGCATCGGCCCTATATAGTTACTAACTATATCGCTGCTTTCAGAGAAAGTGTGATCTTAAGATGTTAATTAAACACCTTTTTTTAACCGACTACAAACAATAAAAGAGGTTCTCAGTCCTCAGGACTTTTAAGTATGATTGTGCGGGATTATCTAGCGGTTCGCTGAACCGATTTTAAAGTGGTTTTCAGATAAAATCTTGTTACACTTAAAAAAATAATAGACTAAGGAGAAAGTTTTAGTATATTAATTGTATAACGGACTTCAAAAGAGGGGGTTGAAGTTGGTTTTTTAAACGTAGTTTATGTGGCTATATCAACATCTTATAGAGTTTGTACTTGATGTCAGAGTTTTAATTGAATCGAATCATTACGATACGAACACAGATAGGTTAATTTCTTGTTAATTATATATGTTACTAGCGAACCGCCTCGGCTTCGCACGGGTGCAATATGCATATATTATACATATACCCCTTCCTTAAGAATCACTCTATCTATTAAAAAAACCGCATTTAAATCCGTTGCGTAGTTTTAAAGACCTAAGCATATATAGGGACAGACAGACGGGACTTTGTTTTATACTACCTCTATGTAGCGATGAATACTGGAGTTATAAAAAACCAACTTGAGACCTATTATTTGCGTTTGTTCAAAAGTGATAAACATTATTATTTATTTATTAATACTTAACTGAATTATTCAGATATTAGAATGGGTATTCTATATTTTTCTTTATATTTTTAAGTATTACTTGTTTTTTATTGTGAATTATTTAATTACAATTGAAGTAAATATGTATCATAACACTGTAACATTATTAATAAAGCACATATATACAAAACTCACTTATAATTCACTAATTCAATTCAAGGGATTTAAACGAAAAATTAACTATAAGCAATTATTATACTGTCCGCAAAAAATAGTTTAACTGAAAGATTTACAAAATGTATCCTATTCTAAAACATGAAATAACTAAATAACTCCTTTTCGACATGGTTGACAATAACATAGTTAGTAAAATCAGGTGATCCGTCAGCTCGTTTGCCTCCTATTCCATATAAAAAAAATATCACTGTTGCTTTTCCCATGTTTTTTCCGACTTTAACATAACTAGCAAAAAACCAGGCCAAATTCAAATTCAAATTCAAATCACTTTAATGCATCTATAGTGTGTACAGGGTTGTTTATTTTCGGGAGTTAAAAATGTGATTGTAAAAATATATGAAGCTATTAGATTTATTAGACCCCCACACGTCTGATATTTTTATGAATTATTCCAATATTAATTATGCATTAAAATGATAACCACTATAAATTAAAATATCTTTCTATATTTCTTATGTTAATTTTAGTTGTAGTTAAATGCTTTAGTTATAATTTATTTTGGTCCTAGTTATATATTATTTAGTTTATATCTATATAGAGTTTAGTTTATTCCTTACAAGTAATAAAATCTAATATAAATTTACGAGTCTCATGTAAAAAACGAAAAGTTCTGAAATCTTTAATAGAATTGATCGCAAAAGAAGGGACACATTGGCATAGTTCGTGATTGTTAGGGGTAAAATTGAAATATTTGATGACAAGTTAAACAAAATACTACTTACCGACGATCGCCGTCAACACTAGAAGTTTCATAGTCCGAGAGTTCCTGTGGTCGTGTTCAGTGTAGCACAGTCGAGCACACTTCTGATACACGGGACCTGTGGGCCAGGTTTTATACCGGTTATCATACTCTGCTAGGTAAGTTAGAAGACCCCTAACCTCGCCAAAATTGAGATAACGTGCGAATCAAAAATTATTCCATGCGTTCCCTATTTTACATATAACAACAAGCCTTTTATCCTAGGGGTAGGGGTAAGCAGAGGTGCACAATTCGGCATTTAATGCCGCTGCACAATGTAATACCCACTTTTCACTATTTATGTTATGATTCCCATGTAATAGGGGGAGCCTATTGCTATATACCGAGCACAATTCCAGACTCCGTGCTACTACTGAGATTTTTGTAAAAAATTCAGTACCTAATACCTCTTGCCTGGCATTCGCACTTACGACCACTCGGCCAACGAGGCAGTCTGTTCTATATTTTAACTAACCAGTAAAAAATCGACCCTTGATATGATGGCTTTTCTAAGCGGTCTGTCCGGGGGGACTAATGTTACAGACAGACAGAAATTATAAAAATCTATTATGAAACAAACATGGAAAATTGAAATACCGAAAACAAAAACAATACTTATCCGGAAATCGTACGTAAAAGCCATGTTCAGGACTCAGCAGTCACATTTGCAAATCATTCGTCTCAACAACGAAACATTCCTTTTTATATCAGTTTTTTATTATGGAGTAGGAGGGAAACAAGCCGACCACCTGATGGCTACCGATCAGCACCGCCCATGGACACTTGCAATGCCAGAGGAGTAACAGGTGCATTGCCGACCTTTTAAAAAGGAATACGCTCCTTTCTTTAAGGTTTGAAGGTCGTATCGGTACCGAAATACCACCGACGACAGATCATTCCAGAGTTTTGCTGTGTGAGGCAGAAAGCTACGAGAGAAGCACACGGTTTAAACAGAATCAGACGGAGTCCACAGGCTATTATTTTTATGGAATCGAAGGCAAACGATAGAAGACCTAAAGGTTTAGTAGGAAGTTTGTAATGCTTAACAAACTCTCGACTCAGCTCTCATACTAATGATTAGTGATCAATACTAGAGGAGAGAGGCATCAGACGTGCGTCGCCAGTCTTTTAAAAACAACCACTCTCTTTCCTTGGTTTGAAGGTCAAAACGATTGTCAAAATGTCCACCTAATTAGTAAAAGAATGATCTCGAAAAGTAGGCATAATCAAACTAAAAGCAAATGTTTTTGTTGTTACTGAATACTGATAAACATAAGTAAGCATTCTCTTATCAAAAGTTTGTTTTAAAAAGTCGGAACTCTTTTGTATACCTATCTACTTTTGTTTAAATTTTGACTGTTATATAACTATTAGTTGGTATAATCGGATAATCATCAACATCATTGAAAGAAAGACAAAACTTTATTTCACGCTAAAATAACAAGTGACATGTACAGATGTGTTCTATTCTATTAGTAGGTACTGATAGATACATGTCCATGTCCCAAGTCTGCCGCGAAATGGGACCAGTTCAGATTGTGCAAGACTGGGCTTTGCGCTAGTATTCTATCATCATCATCATCAACAGCTGCCTCGTTGGCCGAGTGGTCGCAAGTGCGACTGACGGGGCAAGGGGTCTCGGGTTCGATTCCCGGGTCGGGCAAAGTATTACTAGGTTTAAAAAAATCTCAGTAGTAGCACGGAGTCTGGAATTGTGCCCGGTATATGGCAATAGGCTCACCCCCTATTACATGGGACCCATCACATAAATAGTGAAAAGTGGCAGTGACCATTGTACAGTGGTATAATGTGCACCTCTGCCTACCCCTTCGGGGATAAAAGGCGTGACGTTATGTTATGTCATCAACAGCCGGAAGACGTCCGCTGCTGGACAAGGGCTCCCTTAGTCCTGCGCGTCGAACGACAACTCGCCACCTGCATCCACTGGCTCCCCGCGACTCTGGCGATGTAGTCACTAAATCTGATAATACGACTGCTTTAATTCGATCGATATATATTGTTCGACCCAGGAATCAAAAACAATATCTGTTTGACAGTTACTATCAATCGACCGGGGTTTGTCTGTTGGCAATGTTTTGTAATGTATGTATTTTAAAGTAAAGTTTTAACTTTGAAAATAAAAACATGTGGTATGTTTACCGCAGCGATTAAATGGTGTACCATTTCGATCAGAGACGAAGAGAGACGCGTAGGTAGGTATAGGGCGGTTTTTAGACAGTAAGAGTCTGACACTCCCTCGTCTCAACCGGGCGGGAGAAATCAATGGATGATTTTCCGCCTCAAAAAATGAGGTACACATTGTTATGTAATACCCACTTTTCATAATTTGTTTTGTTATAAGAGGTGACCCTATTACCATGTACCGGACATGAGAGATTCTGCAGTGACATTATCGTGTAACAACCATGAGAATATTTTTGAAAAACTAAATCCCAAAACGTTTTGTCCGACCCCTTGATCGGCAGTCGTACTTATGGCCACTCAACCAGCGACCGCCATTATCTCTATACTTAAATGTTTGATTAATAAACAATAATTGACTTGTTGTTTTACTATTTGCTAATTTGTAAAAAACTATGTTATCTTTTATAAACATTATCAAGTGCCTTACGTATTTGTGATTCTGATTAATCATAAAAAAGATACGTTATCCAGGGCCGTATTTGACGATTATTTATAAAGTCCGTTTATAATAAGTCAGTTGTGTTATAAGTCGTTGTTCTACGTAGGTCCAGATCAGTAAAACTTAGTCGATTTTTCTAGAGAAAATCATAGTCCATTGTTCAAGCCAGTCGCGGAGAACCTAACGGGTTACCGGGGCGGTTTTTAGTCAGTAAGAGTCTGACACTCCCTCCCGCCTCACCCAGGCGGGAGCAGTCATTCGATGATTTTCCCCCTTAAAAAAAAATGTTCAAGCCAAGCTGTTAGATAAAATCATAAAAGTAAGAAAATGCAAACGAATTCAGTACGCAAACCCAGATCGACCACAGACAGAATGCGCGCGCCAAGTGACATTACTACCAAATGTCATCTGTCAATTCGTCAACTGTCAGTGTCGATCGATATTATTGCTCGTTTCAAATAGCGCTTTCAATCGAGTCTTTTGATAAGCCGTGTTATGGTTCCACGCCATCATAGCGAACTGTCTGTACTTAACTAAAAATAATCATCATATATCTGTTGAGATATATTATACCGATTCTTGTCTTTGTTCTCTCAAAGAGTGTTGTTACAAAGACTTGGCTGTATGGCCTATAATGCCTTTGCCTGTTTAGGTGTAGTAAAGACAGGTATTAAATTAAGCTAGATCAACAAGGTACTGCTTTGTGTCGCAAGTGCTTTTGCCTAGTAAGTAATGGATTTTATTAACTTTTATACTACCTATCTCCTTACTTCTGTTAGTAATCTACTGCAAATGTTCCTTAAAATTGATTATAGACTCGATTAAATAAAATAAACCACCTTTCTAATTAAGTCTTTATTGAGTAATATTAAATATTTGAAATTGACCATAGGTATACATCAATACAGATAAATAAAATTGGAGTGTCTGTTTATAATATTAAAATAACCGCTTTTTACGACATGCATAATTATGAATATACATACGATACACATATCAAAATATTTTTTTAACCATAAAAGGTCATAACATACAGTTTTTATCTATAATTTTTCAATCAGATTTCAAGTAAGAGAATACCATTAATGTATTACAGATATATTTCTGTGAACACGACGTAAATCTTATTATAATATCGCAATTGAATTAATAATCTATGTAGTCAGTTCATTAATGGAGCATGGCCTTGCTCCACTCATCATCAGAGCGAAGAATGTTGGTGTACTGGGTGACAGGCTGGTACGCCTTCAGTTTGGCTTCCTTCTTCAGCTCTTCGGTCTTAAGCTCACTGTCTGCACTTTCCAAAGAGAAGGAGGCTCCATAATGTTCAGGGAGATCCACCAGACCGTAAGGAGTCATGTAGTCGTCACTGGGTTGGGAAGTGCTCTGTCCACAAAGACCTCTGGTGGTGCTGCGGTAAAATCCAGAGAAGATAACAAGTCGGTGGCCGTCGTATATAAGTCGAATACGCCCATTGTGCATGCTGTACACTTGATAGTTCTCTGTGTCAACATGATAGTATTCCAATAGAGGTATCCTGTAGATATCATCATAGTACGTGATGACGCCATCGTCTGAGATCTTTCTTCCATTACTCTTGACATTGACTGATTTCGACGAGATATCAATCTCCAAAAATATACCCTTGTTATTTCTGAAACATAATCGGTATAGTAGATAAATGTTTTTTTTATTTTCTGGGATAAGCCGGTAAACGAGCAGACGGATCACCGTCAAGCAATCGTCGTCGCCCATGGACACCTGGAACACCAGAGGCGTTACAAGTGCGTTACCGACATTTTGGGGATTAGGAGTTTGAGGATTGTTGGGGATCGGGGAAGGGAGGGGAGGATTTGTACCTCTGGTAACCTCACTCACTAGACGAAACACAACGCAAGCGTTGCTTCACGTCAGTTTTGTGTGACACCGTGGTATAACTCCGGTCGAGCCGGCCTTGGTTTTGGTACCCTTTTAATACATCAATATTATGCAAACACAAATTTAGTGTGGGAGAGCCATCGGCACGAATAGGCCGGCTCGACCAGAGTGATACCACGGCCTCACAGAAAACGCTTGCGTTGTGTTTCGTCGTGTGAGTGAGGTTACCGGAGGCCCAATTACCCTTCCATTCCCCAATCTCCCCAATTTCTGAATCTCCAACGATCCTCAAACTCCTAATCTCCAAAAGGCCGGTAACGCACTTGTAACGCCCCTGGTGTTCCAGGTGTCCATGGGCGATGCCGATTGTTTACCATGAGGTGATCCGTCTGCTCGTTTACCGGCTTATGCCATAAAAAAACACAATTTTACCCTCGTCATTATATACGCCGTATGCTAAATTGACTATTATTAAATCAGGTGTATGATATA